AAAAACACAGTTAGAAAAGTTTAATGCTATTAGGAAATTTAAAAAGGTGCCTTAATTTGAGACAATAAAATAATGTGAAAATGTTCCAAAGAATAGAACCATAAATGGCATTTTAAGGCAATAATTCAACTTAAGCAATTCCAGGAAACAATCAATTTCGACTGCAAGGAGAAACTCCAAATGCATCGATATATAATCGTGACATTTAAATCTATTCTAGATTATGAAATAATGTACCTACATATGTATATACACATAAAAGTTTTGAATACTTTATTTTTATTTTTATTTTTATACATATGTACATACATACAAAAATGTTATCGTGTTGGGAAAAGACTGAGGTCAATCCCTTTTTAAATAAACTATACTCTGCATGCACAAACATACATAAATATGTACATACATATGTATGTATGTATGTATATAGACAAGTGTGTGGATAAATATATAAATGGTTGTGAGAACTCGTGTGACAAAAATTATGCTAATTCCAAACACTTAAATTTTCCGCAATACAAATGTTTTTACTACTGACAGGAAATGGAACACATGTACATACATACAAACATGCTAACATACCTACATATTTGAAATCGAACTTACCCAGCAAGCAAAATAAACTTATTTATGTACATCTGCATATAATAATAAGCATTAACCAGAACCCGTTAATAAAAGTAATTGAATTAAATCGCAACGGCAGCCAATTTTGGTAATCGCTTAATTATTAATTAATTACATTTCAGAATGCGTGTACATATGTATGTGTATATGTTAAAATAGCTGTAACATATAAAGTAAGTTGTGAATACAAACTTCTCGTTGATTTTACGCAATACACGTTTTTGCTGTGAAGTTAAGAGAATTGTTAAGAAATTAGTTTTATAAATATCTTAAAGATCCATTATTTAAATTTGATTTTCTAACATCTGTGAACCCTTTTCAAAAAACTAAAACCACCTACAAGCAAAAAAGCTCTTTTATATATAAATATTTGATGACAGGAAGAATCGTGGTGTTAAATATTTAACGCGTTAAACCTCCGGACTCAATTAAGAAGTTTAATGTCAATAAAAGTCCCGTATAATTATTAAGAGAAGACGTATGTAAATCATTTATGTACGTCTTGAAATAAACGTCTCGAGAGACGAAACAATATAAAGTCCTATATAATTATTATGAGAAGATGCAAATAATTGCAATGCTAATATAATTATTAGGAGAAGGTGAAAAGGTCATTAGTCTAACGATTTCCGTCTGAGGAGACAAAAACAACTTTTCCATTGTTCGGTAAAAACACGGTGCTACAAAAAAGGTCATGAAATACACCCGAAACAAAACCTAGTGCAGGTTGTAGCCACCCTGCAGGAAATGTATCTAACTATAAGCTAACTTTAAGTGGATTAGGAAGGAGCTAAAAGTCGCAATTATCTGTATATTTCTATGGCGATGGCCGCGAAATAGTCAAGGGTTGTTACCTCTGCATTAGATGTAGTCAAGGGTGGTTACCTCTGCATTAGATGTAACTAACTTGTAACTAACTACCCTTGGACATAAAATATCAATATGAAAAACTAAATAATTTTTTATATTTTTGTTTTATTTACTTTATTTACTTTATTTATTTTATTACATTTCATATTTGTTTATATATTCTTCTGTGAGTGGTCCCATATTTGAACTCCGTCAGACATAACTTCAAAATTATAATATGAAATATCGATCTTCCCTTTATTTGTGCTCAGTTCGAAAAAGTATTTGCGAAGTACAGGATATTTAAATAGAAATGCGCTTAAAGAAAACAATCTCCTGCATTACTCCTACATTACTAGTCAACTAGTTTCAAGTTAGCTTTTTGTAGCCGACTACAAGTTATATAATTTATAGAAATCCCGCAAAAAAGCGAACTACAAGTTTGTTATTTTTTATCAATTGATAATTTT